CTTGCCCAACCTTAAACTAGAAACTGCGGGAAACTGAACAAAGCCTACCCCACTGGCATAGGCTCGGATCTATTAGTCATGCAGCCACGAAATCAGCCCCTCCCCCACTCTTTCTAGTCACTTTTAATAAATGATATCATTTCTCAGAGAGCATAGTGCAATAGGTCAGTCTACTGATATAGCACTATGGGCTTAATTCCTCTGTGAATATGGCAGAGGAAAGGGCCAATAGAGTAGAGGTTGATACCCTACCACAGAGAGGAGGCCCTTATGGGAACACTGCACACATCTGTTTTGAGTATCTCCACAGCTCCATCACAGACATAGGAAACAACAATTATTTTATTAATACCTATAATTCTGTCAGTCTCAGATTCAGGTAGGGCTTGGCTGGGTAATTCTGCTCCATTTAGTGTTATCCATGGTTGCGCAGTGGTAATTAGCTGGGGTGGGGTCCAAGATAGCTCCAGTTCACTGCCGGGATCCTGTAAGCTGTGCTCAGCAGGCTTCCCCCTCTCCATATGGTTCACATCTAGTCAACCATGGGAAGTGGACCTCTTAGATGGGGGTTCAGAGTATAAGAATCAGTGTTTCAGGAGTGCTGGGAGTAAGTTATAAGGCCCTTTATATATAAGTTATAAGGGATTTTACATTGTGGCTTTGAAAGTCTCTTTCATGAGCCCCATGTACTGGCACACACTTTTAATCTAGCACTCAGGAGGCTGAGGCAGGCAGATCTCTGTGAGTTTGAGGCCAGCCTGGTCTACACAGTGAGTTCCATGACAGCCAGAGCTACATAGTGAGACCCTGTCTTGAAAACAAAAACAAAAAGAAAGAAAGAAAAACAAAAATCACCTTCACGTTCACTTCTACTGGTCAAGAAAACAACCAATGCCAGTTCAGATTAAAGAAGAGAGGTAGAAACCCAAAAAAAGAATAAATAAATACTATCAATGTTTAACTTGATTGTTAACAAATCTCTTCTTGTGGCCTGAGAAAAAGAATTCTGTGCTTTTCAAATCTCTTACCCATTAATGGGAAAAAGATAGAAGGAAATTCCTAAGAATCCTTTACATAGCCCCAAGGGAAAAAGGCCTGTTTCTTTTTTCAAAAGATTCTATATTCCTTGCCAGGCTTGGTTTAAGTTTCTCTGGGAACAAAAGCTCTAAATTTGGCTCTGCTGAGGCCCCTCTCCTGACATCATGGCTTTTAATCCCGATAAACACTAACTACTTAATAATATTTAGTAACGTTTGCAAGAGCCATTAAGAATACATGACTCAGAGTAACCACACAGCTTTCTAATAGATAACATTTGCTTAGAATTGTTACTCTTGGCCTTGAGTAAATCACCAAGAAAACTGAGTCCGGATTAAACTCTGGAGCTAACACACTGCAAGCTCTTGTCACTCTTCTCCTTGTGGGGTACCATTTCATTCCCGTGACCACACTCATGGCATGGGTCCCCGGAATTCCGCGTAAACTCCAGGTGTGGCTTTGAACAATGTATCACACCGTAGGTGTGAACTGAAGGGCCTCTTCTTCTGTCTTGTCTCTTCTGTCTTGTCGCTACACTAGGAAGTCCTTCAAGTTCACAAACCTCAGCCACATTGCTCTGAGACTCAGCACATCTCTCCTGAGAGCCCTTTCCACGCTCCTTCCTTCTGCGCCTGTGCAGTGGTGATAGGGACCGGGCAGGATGCAGAGACAGGCCCGATTATTGGCTGTCTGGTAGGGTGACTATCAGGGGATGTCTAGGGAACCATTTCTTTCCTACATTGTGTCTTCTCTGCCGGTGATGAGATAGATGTACGTTGGAACTGGCAGCTTTGTGGGCACTCGGACAACAGACTCAAGATGGAAACACCGGCCCTCCCAAGAGCTTGCTGCTTGGTTCAGCGTCTGGATTTGCAGACATGGTGACCCTTTCTAAAGTATCCTCACCGTCTCCACTCTCCTTTCAAACTCCCCAAACTCTGTGCTAAGAATGTCCGCGCTCCAGACTAGAGGTCCACTTCTGCTTTTTCCTTCCATCACTGGCTGGATTATAGCTTCAGAGAATTGAGTCCCTAATGGCGCCTAGCAAGTTGGCTGACTTGATGCAGGGGCTTTCCACATCTTCGGGAACTACTGACCTGGGAGGGATGCTATGCCCTTCTGATACAGCGCACTGTTAGCTGTGTTTCATTTTCAGCAACGGTGATGCATTTCCTAAAGAAGACAACAGCCTCACCACCAACTTCAAAGAGGTTTTAGTGTAAATATGATTGGTGAAAACTCTTAAGTACCATAGTCCTCAGTTTGAAAAGGCTTGTGTGTTATGTGCACATAGTGTGTGTGGGGGGGTACATTGCTGCCACAGAGTCTGTGTGGAGCCAGAAGACAACCCGGGGGACTTTCTTCTTTCCTTCTACCTTTCCCTGGGGGACAGGGACCGAAACCCCAGGTCATCGGGTTTTTGTAGCAAGCATTTTAACCAGTGAGCCATCTTGCCTATCTCGTAGTCACTCGTTCTTAGGTGTAACTTTATGTTCTAGCCTAGAGTTTGGTACTGTGGATACAAAAATGGCTTATGTGATCCCTAGAGCCAAAAAACCTGACATTTTTATAGCATGAAGCCACATGACTAGATAAATCACACCACTCAGTAAGAGGCACCAAGCTTGTCTATGATGACCTGTCTAAGAATGAAGCGTCTGGGTAGATGACCTACATAAGGCTTTTCTCTTTGAATTTTTGTCCGAGGTGGAAAATAACTGGACCCCCCACCATATACATATGTGTACAGTATGTTGACGCTACTTGAATTTTGGAATGTATTTATAAAATAATATATAACACTATTTCCTAAATTTTTTAAAGTGATTTTTTAAATTTTTTATTTTATGTACATTGTGTTCTGTCTACATGTATGTTTGTGTGAAGGTATCAGATCCCCTGGAGCTAGAATTACAGTTGTGAGCTGCCATGTGGGTGCTGGGGATTGAACCCAGGTCCTTCAGAAGAGGAGTCAGTGCTCTTCACTGCTGAGCCACCTCTCCAGCCCCNGTCCCTTTTCCTGAATTTTAATTATTTAAAATATATGGATGGAACCTGGGCATAGTGACAACAGTCCTGTAATTGCAGCACAGGGAAGGTTCAGGAGGATCATAAACTCAGGGGTAACCTGGGCTACATGGTAAGACCCTGTCTCAAAACACTACACAAAGCAAACCCGGATAGGAATGACCACCAAAGCTAATATCCACTTCCTGTAGCCAGTGCCTTACCCAAAACTCAGAGAAATAGAAGGCATTTGGATTCCTTATAGAGTGTAAATAGGTTTTTGTTTGTTTGTTTGTTTGTTTTGGGTTTTTTGTTTGTTTGTTTGTTTGTTTTTCAAGACAGAGTTTCCCTGTAGCTTTGGAGCCAGTCCTGGAACTAGCTCTTGTAGCCCAGGCTGGCCTTGAACGCACAGAGAACACCGGCCTGCCTCTACCTCCTGAGTGCTGGGATTAAAGGTGTGAGCCACCACTGCCTAGCTAAGCCCTTCAAACTCAAAGAGGTCACTGTCTTCAGTACTTTACTCCCATTTCAACAGATGAGTTATTGATCCATTTCTGCAACTGACAGCAACCAAGGGTGTGGTGGTTACTTAAGGAGGGTAAGGTTCTAGAATGGTGGGGTGGAGACTCCCTTTCCTAAATGGCCCAAGACTGAAAAAGTTCCGGCTTCTAGGATGGTCCACATCCTGTGTGGGCTTGCTTAGTTCACATGCTCCTCTGAGCAGGGAGATGGCTGGGAGAGCTTGTGTTTCTATATAAACATTCCAATTTAACATGTTGCTGGTGGCTTTTTTTTCCCTGTCAGAAAACACACTGGATCAAGATCACACTTGGGAAGCGGGTACAATTCCATGTTTGGAAGCAGGAAATGGGGTCTCAGTGGACTCTTCGCCTGCCAAGGCTGAAAAGAGGGGCCTGAGGGAGTGGTCTGGGTTATGAAATCAGAACTCAGGAAATCCTGACTCTTGATTTGGTCAGATGTAGGCAGTGTGTCTCTCAACAAAAGTTCCAGTTTCTCCGTCTCCAGACATAAACTGAGGACAATGTCTTTTACCTTACGGAGATGTACTAACCTGGTGGCTTCTAGAGAGTATTCCTGATCCCCCTGCTTCCACTTCCTAAGAGCTAGGGTTGCAGGCATGCACCACCGCACCCTGACTTCTACAGATTTTTCTAAACTCAAATCTGATATAAACATCAGAGAGCCAAGTTCTCTCCTTCGTCTCCAGGGGATGCCCAGAAATGCATCAACCAATACAGAAACATTCGGCCCTTTGCTTCTGGTCATGTGGTCGAGGACAGCACAGCCATTGTCACTGGGACATTCTTAGCTAGTCAGTGGGTCAACTTTCTGCATTCTTCCCCCTTTCCTTTGTTATTTGTTCTATGTAGTTCACATTACGGACTCCACTGAGTTGTCTTTGAATGTTTTGTTATCGTGCCTGGAGAAGAGATCCGCTAAGTATCTACTGAGAACTCAATTGCTCTGGCAATAAGCAACTGGCTGGCTTTCCAGATTCAATTCCTTTTTTTTTTTTTTTCTTTAATTCTGGATTTGAGAAAGGGTTTCTTATGGCCCAAGTGGCCTCACGCCATGGACTTGAACCCCTGTTCCTCCTGTTTCCAGCACGCAAGCACTAGGATTTAAGGCCCTGTCTTTATGCCCAGCTTCAGATTCAAAGGTTTTGACAAAATAGATATAAGGTCTAATTCCTCTGCCCAATAGCATATCCTTTTAGTAGCATAAGCTTCTTCAACTTATTACTATTCAACGTATTACTAACATAAATCTCCAAGGACAATATAGGCGATTTTTCAGTTGGCAGCAAACGACGCATTGCGTAAACTCTCCGCCCTGAGCGACTGGACTGTGGAAAGGGGAAGGCTCAGGAGGTACTTAGGAAAGTCCTTCTGCTTTCATCTCCTTCTCCCGGCAGGCCGCCTCGCCAGCTGGTCTCCTGGACCGTTGGTCTCTTCTGCAGCTCCGGAGCCAAGTTCAGTGCGCCTTGCTGCTTCTGCAAACACTGGCAAGATGGAAGCGGTCCAGAACTCGAGAGAAACACAAGCTTGTTGCTACTCAACCTCAGGCGCTGAGAAACCATGTTCGACAGGGGCTGTTTGCGAGCTCTAACCACAACGAATGGGTTCCACTTAGAGAAAGTAAGCATGGGCCTGCGTGATCTCATTTCTGTATTCTCTCTGTTTAATGCTTTCAGCCTGAAGTATCTCGTTTTGTTTCCTAGGGTGTTTTTACACCACTGCTTTATCCCGTGAGTATTTAAGAGAAGATGCTGGGCTACATGTCTCCCATACACAATCTCACTTAGTTCTCTCACAATCTAGTAAGGTGAGCATTCCGAAGATTTTCAAAGCAGAATCCCGAGTCCTTGTGGGCTGGAGTGATGGGGTGGAGGTTAACTCTGCCTGCTCTTGGTGGCTCACAACCACCTGTCACTCCAGTTCCAGGGGATCTGACACTCTCTTCTGGACGCCACAGGCACAGGTGGTGCAATATACTTAAATGAATATAAAGAAAAATTAAACATTTCGTCAAAAAGAAAAGAGAATTGAGGCTGAGACATGGCTCGGCAGTTAAGAGCACTGGCTGCTGTTCCAGAGGTCCTGGGTTCAATTCCTAGCATCCACATGGCTGCTCACACCTGTCTGTAACTCCAGTTCCAGGGGTTCTGACACCCTCACACAGACATACCTGTCTGTGTGCATTGTGCAATCAAAATACCAATGAACATAAAACAAAAATAAATTATAGAAAGAAAGAAAGAAAGAAAGAAAGAAAGAAAGAAAGAAAGGAGGAAAGAAAACTGAAAGCTAAGCTAAAGAAGTCATTCGTTCCAGGTTCCAGGCTTTGAGGTGGGCAGTGGTGACCCTGAGCTGCCCTCCGGAACTGACATACTTTACAGTCAGGTGGGCAGTGGTGAGATTTGGCTGTCCTCCTGGAGCTAACGCCAGCCACAGAGATCGCTGCTCTCAGACTTAACTCACAACATCCTGTCTTTTACTTTTTTCACAGCACACACATTTGTAGACGGCAAGTGTTGGTTTGGCGCTGACCCCAACCCAGAGGCTCAGGTGTTCGAAGGCTTGGTCCCCAGCTCATTCAGTCATTGAGAAGGGAAAGGGACCTGAGACTCTAACTCAGTCACTGGATTAACCCACTGATGGAGTGATGGAGTTCTTTGGAGGTGACGCAATCCTGTGGGGTGGGGTCTACGCAGAAGTAGATCACTGGGGACTCGTCCTTGGCACTATTTCTTGTTCTGGACCCTTCTTTGTCCCACTTCCTGGTAGTCATGAAGTCAAAAGCGCTGCTCCCCACACCCTTCCACCATGACGCTTGGCCTCCTCAGAGCCCAGAAACAATGTTGCCAACAGACTGAGGACTGAAACCTCTAAACAGTGAACCAAGTTAAGTCCTTCCGGAGTTCCTCAAGCTATTTGCTCAAACTGTTTGTCACAGAGACGAAAGTCCGAATGACAGCAGCAAGTGATTTTTTCCCTTCAATGAATTAATTTTAATAACTCGCTCTTAGCTTTTTCAAGACTGCAATATGTATGACGTGAGATGTGTTTCTTCCTAGTAACGCCGGGGCTGGAGAACCAAGTTTGCCGCCTGAGGATCTCGTCTTAAAGTTGGGAATTCACTGTTACATTGAATATGATTTATTTAAGGCTTAAGTTTGTTCCTGGCTGGCAAAGTGTGGCTTCCTGACTTAGAAAAATTCTCTGGAAAAAAAAAAATCTCCCCCTAAAATGGCAGTCTGCAACATTTTAATGACCTCATTGTAAGTGAATTAGAAACATTCAAATGCAATTTACTTTAAAATAGATCTGGGTGTTAAAATAAGGGACAGCTGGCAGTTGGGATTCTTCTGACTTCAACCAACGAGGTATTTGCCCCAGTCATTTAGAACACATAAAACAACCTAAAAAACGAAAACAAGAATTATTACAATTGCGCATGAGGAGATAACCTCCTAGCACTTATATAAAGAGAAAAACTCGCACCATGGGAAAATTTTCTCACAAACACGTGTCACTGAGAATCGTCTCATTTGAAACCGTTTAATGTCTAGTTTTTATTTACAAAGTTATAATATGGGTCAGAATGCCTCGCTCCTGAAAACTGTCAGGTCGGGAAGTCTGAGCCGAGCGGAGGCTGGTAGTGCAATGTTATGAACACCCTGTGTCTCATCAACTGTTTATCCCCCCCCCCCCCATAGCAAAGCAACTGCGAGGCGGGCCATTCCCACCGCACGATGAAGGGCCGCGTGGTTAGTAGAAGGCAGAGGCAGGATGTGAGGCAAGAACAAGGTCCCACAGACTGTGCTGACCTCTGACACTTGACCTCTCCTTGAAGAGCCACCAGGAAGTGTAAGCCTGGGTTAAGATGTTTCACCAAAAATGCAAGGGTTTCTATATTGTCCAAAGAAGCAAACTGGATTTTGCTCTGATAGCAAAATGATTCAAGTTCCCAGGAAGTGGAAACGATATGGCACAGATTGCCCATACTTCTCTATGGGTGACCAATACTTTCAAAATATTTGAAAATTCCCTTACTGTGGTGGTTTGAAAGAAAATGCCCCCCCAATACTATTAGGAGGCGTGGCCTTGTTGGAGGAAGTGTGTCAGTGTGGGGGCGGGCCTTGAGGTCTGAGTGTGCCCGGCAGTCAACTTCCTGTGGCCTGCATGTTAAGATATAGGACTCCCTGCTCCAGCACATCTGGGTGCATGCCACCATGCTCCCCACCATGGTGACAATGGAGTGAACCTCTGAAACTGTAAGTGAGCCACCCAGCTTAAATGTTTTCTTTATAACCTAACGAAGATGCCTGCTAACTATGAGATATTAAATAAACAAAACTTTCGTTTGGTAAGCATATGAGTAAAACTAACACACTGGTAAACCTAAGAATTCCAGAACGCTTCTTTGGGTGAACATCTCTACTAATGGCGCTCCCCGCCTTTCCGTGAAGGTTTTCGATTTGTGAAACTTTCTCCTGAGATACTACAATTAGGCTCTCATACTTCTTTTTGTTTCCTAAACCTTTTTTGAGATGGGGAGGGGCTGGGACAGGCTCCTGCTATGTAGCTTAGGCTGGCCTTCAACTCATAGGAATCCTCCTGCCTCAGCCTGTGAGTGCTGAGATTACAGGTGTGTACCACTATACCCATTTTTTTTCTGAGCCTTCATTTAAACAAAGTAGTTTTTTTTTTTTTAACCAGGTAACAGGGTTTACAGAGTTCCTTCTTGCAATGTGCCCGTCTTGTTTTCTGAAGGCATGTACGTATACACACACACACACACACACTGGGTAGTTAGTAAGCCTTTATAACCAGGTTTGCATTCTTACCCCCCTGAGCCCCTATCTATCTCTTTTTGTCTCTGTCTCTCTCCCTCAGCCAGCTCTCTCATATAACTCAGGACTACCTGCCGCAGGGGGCTGGGCACTACTACATCAATTAACAGTCAATCAGTGACAGATCTTTTTGCTACTGTCTGTCCGTTTTTACCTCATAATTTTTAGTGACCTCCATTCCTTTTATCCCTTTGACCCCAGAGATTGCCATGTTCTCAGAGGGCATAGAACAATCTCTTAGCCACTTTATAATACACTTCTATAAAATACCCGACTCAGTTTTTGAATGGAAATAATAGCTGAGTCTCAAACTGACTGGAAAACTGGGGAAGAAGCCAGGCAGTGGTGGTGCACACCTTTAATCCACTTGGGAGGCAGATGCAGGCAGATCTCTGAGGCCAGCCTGGTTTACAGAGGGAGCTGCAGAACAGCCAGGGCTGCGCAGAGAAACCCTGTCTTGAAAAATAAAAACAAAACAAAACATCACACTGCTGATATTTCCCACTTTACTAGATAGTCATGTCCAATAGTTTCTCGCCCTCATCCGAATGCGTTTGCTCAAACCATGATCTTAAAGTTCATCTGCATTTGGATGCAGCCCAATGTGGGCTAGATTTGACTGGAGTTACTGACTGGTGGGGAGGTGGAATATCTCCTGAGGGACTCACTCTGGCAGCTGCTGCCACCGTGAAGACCCCTGATGTTAGCACAGCTTCCTAAGCGGCTCCCCCCTGCCCTCTGCTTCCATTGCCAATACCTGGATATTCGGCTCCAAGGAAAGGCAACTCTCCTGCTTCAGGAGAGTCAGCACACTGGGATGTTGCCCTGCCCTGCGCAGTTGGGCCTGGCTTCTAGGAGGGAGCTGGCTCTCAAGAGCCAGAGGGAATACACCGGGAAGCAGCTTTCATCCCTGGTCTCTGCTCCAGGTTCCTGTCCCCAGTGATGGACCTGGAAATATAAGATAAAATAAACCTTTTCCTCCTCATGTTGCTTTCGGTCAGAATATTTCATTACAAAAACAGGAAGCAGAGTAGACCAAAGCCCCTTCAGCAAATTTCAGAAGACGAAGACCCCATGCATAACATATATGTTTTTAATTATATATAATGTATAATTAGAAAACTAACTATATTAAAATATTAATAAAATATTAAAAGTTAACATATTTTTTGCAATAGTAATATATAACTTCTTTATTCACATACATCAGGATCTAGCAGGGGGGCTACAGGATAACAACCGTAATTTGAGATATCTGCAACAACCAAATGTCCTGGAGAAAACAATAGTTTCTATTGATGATATATACTCTCCTGCCTTTGTGGTTTTCTGCCTACATTCATAATGAAAAAAAGTGCTAAACGGCAGAGGGAAATAAAGACGGGGCACTAAAATGTACATTATTTTGTTCTCAGTCAAGTTCTGAGTGTCCCAAAACAAATTTTACTATCCTAAAATAAGGACGCCTCAAAGCCACCACCTTCCTGGAAGCCCCACCCAATGCCCGGGAGGCAGAAGCCTTCTAGCCACCCACAGGGATTTAGGAGCTGTCCCTAGGCAGTTCTTCTAAACTAAATCAGGAAATTTGGGTAAGAAAAGGGGACAATAGCTGAACTCCAGGGTCCCACATTGAAGAACTTAGAGTCAGTAGGCTGAATTTCCATCCCCCCCCCCCCTTCATCTGCAAAGAAAATCCCACTTCCTAGGATTAGACGAGATAGACAACTGTGTTTTTAAGTAGTACGGCCCTATCAAAGTACGCCAGTGTCCCGTTGTCGACGCTTGGGTCCCTGGGGAGCCAGCAAGTGAGCAGCGTCAATCCATCCCGAAGAGCTGGGCACGGTGAGGGGTGTCTTGAACCCCCGGAGAATGGATGAGCCAAGTAAGACTTCGCACATCGACCCACAGCTCCGAAAACTGCCGGCTTCAGGCGCCCGGGACCGCACTTCGGTGACAGGTAGGAAGACGCCTCGGGTAGCATTCCGGGGCTCCGGGACGCAGGGGGCGCTTCCGGGCAGGTGGCGGGACGGTGGGAGGGCGGCCGCGGGCTCGCCGCTGCGGGGCGGGGCCGGCAGGGAAGGTGCCCAAGGCGGGCCGGGCCTCGGGCGGGGCGGGGCGGGGCGGGGCCGGCGCCCTCGTCACTTGATAAAACGCTGGAGAGTCTCTAGAGAACAACGGGCTCATTGAGCTGCTGCGAGCTGCGGCCGTGGGGGAGCGGCCGGACCGAGAGCGCGAGCCGGCCGGGGGTGGGGCCGCGCGCAGGGGCCACCGAAGCTTAGTGGCCGCAGCGGCGCGCCAGGCAAGCCCGGCTCCGGCCCCGAGCCCGCGCGCACTGCGGCCGCTGCAGCTCGTCGCGTCCCTCCCGCCGCGCGCGCCCATGGCGGTCGCGGGCCAGCTATGCCTGCTCTACCTGTCCGCGGGGCTTCTGGCCCGGCTGGGCGCAGCCTTCAACCTGGACACCCGGGAGGACAACGTGATCCGGAAATCGGGGGATCCCGGGAGCCTCTTCGGCTTCTCGCTCGCCATGCACTGGCAGCTGCAGCCGGAGGACAAGCGGCTGTGAGTTTCCCGACTCTTCCCACCCCCACCGGGGCGCCGCGTTGCGCCGGGAGGAGCGAGGGCGCGCCCTGCTGCCTCCAGTCCCGCGTACCCAGAGCCCATCCGTGGGCCAGCCCTGCCCGGCCCTGCCCTGCACTGCCCTGCCCTGCCCTGCTCTGCCCTGCGCGCTTGCACTTCTCCGGTCCAAGACTTGCGGGGCCGGGCCAGCCGCGCCCTCCGCGCCCGGTGCTCTGCGTGTCCCATGAGCTAGGAGAACCGTGGGGAGACCCCAGGCCCGACCCGGGAGGACATCACCCCCCCCCTACCCCAAGCACTTTCCGCCGTTCTCCTCTCCGGGCTTATTTTGCACAGACCCCGGCAGGTGGCACGCTTTGCTGGGCCTCACGTGTGAACCAGGGACAGTGGTGGGACGTTGGGTTACAGAAAATCTTTGAGGGAGACCCAGGCCTTTCTCAGAAACTCTCCAGTCGTCCTGTCCCATGCCTGGCTCGCGCGCCCCGCGGAAGTTAGGAAGCCACTTTTTCGCTGTCCCGTGTGACTTGTCCTGCAGAGTGGACTCACCTACTTTCACAGGCTTTTTCAAAAGCACCTGTTCCGCAGGGCTAGCTCAGCTGTGAAAATAAGCATCTTCAGTGGTGTGCTAGCTCCCTCTCCCAGCTCCCTGGTCGCGCCGCAACACCCAAGAATTCTTGGGCCCCAGTGCTGGGTGGAACCCACCGAGGAATTAGACCACCGTGACCCATCTGAGCTGGGACTTAGCAAAGAAGGGTCGGAAGTGACAGTCATCCCCCGGCAAACGCTTCTTCCAGGAGAAAGCGACTGGTTCTCCCTTTTAAACAGTGTTGGCTCCCACATGACCCAGTTCTTTTGACTGGAGAGCTTAGTCGCCTCAGTCGCGGTGGGGCTGCATTCTTGATCCAGGCTCCCGAAGGTCGTTCTGACAACAAAAGGTCCTCCTCCCCTCCCGGGCCTTGAGTTGAATCCCGGTCCTTCCAGGACCAGC